GTGGGGTTTTTTTTGCTGCTTATGCTGAATCAGGAATCTTCCCTTAAAGGAGCCGCACAATTATCTGCTTGCAAAGCAGAGTCCAACCAAGAAAAATGCTGCTACTAAGAAACCGTGCTTGTCTCTGTTCATTTGTTTTTAAAACCCTTTTTTAAGCTTTTGTTAAATTTTAAGTGGAAGTTCTTATTAGCCACGTGGGCGCCATATGTAAGGATTACGGTTTTTCCTCCCGCCTCTGGTCTGTTCCCACCGCCCGCCAGCCCCAATTAACACAGACTCCACTCTTAAAAACTACACCTGCAAGGTCATTTGCTGCTGTTTTCTGGGTCAGAAAGCAGTCTCTTTAACTATGCTTCCCCACTTAAAGGAGCTCTCTCTGAAAACAGGTGTTTGGGTGTTGTTTGCTCCTAATCCAGGGTTGGGGAGGAAGCCCCCACTATTCAGAGTTCCCCTTCACTCCACACACAATAAAAGCATTAAGTTAATGCAACATTTTTTTTATGTTTTAAATTACATTGTTTTTACACTGTGAAACACTATTTTATAAAAACCCAGAAGTAGATATTGGGGTTCAAGTTCAGGGTCAGATAAGCAAAGTAGCCAGCCACTAGCTCTTACCTCTACCTGAGACTGAAAGGGTGATCTGGCTAGCTCCATGAATCCTCTGACTGCCTCTCTCAGTGTGGCTGGATACTAAATCTTCAAGGCTGACTTTGTTTCTTCCTTTTATACCTTTCAAATACTAGAATTAATGGCATGTGTATCACTTTCAAGTAGTTCAGTGTAGCCTTGAACTAACAGATCAGTCTTCTTGTCTCTTGAGTCCTGGGATTAATGGTGTGTGCCACCATTGCCTGGCTCTATGGCTAACTAGTATGGCTGCTAGGATTAAAGGTGTGCGTCACCATTGCCTGGCTCAACAGCTTGTGGCTAGTTTTGCTTTCTGTACCTTCAGGCAGGCTTTATTAAGTCATAAATAATATATCATCAAAACAACCTGTTTGATCGTGGCTGTATTGTTGTAATGATGTGCTAGTTAAGAAAACAGTATGAAAGAACCAAAGTCCAGACATAAAAGTATGAATTTGTATAGAATTTTACCATCATGGATACATAATAATGGCCATATTTGGCTGACATACAGTAAAATAACTACAGAAGTTATTCCTCATAACAGAAGTTTACCCATATGTGTACTACTTAATTATATTATTGTTGAGGTAATTAATTCTTATACATTAAGAAATATTAATTTTAGGGCTGGTGAGTTAAGCCATGGGATAAAAGCATTTGTTACTTTTACTAAGGACTCAATTTCAATTCACACCAGCCTCGTGGACTCAGAACCTTATATAACTCCAGTCTCAGGGAATCAGTGCCCTCTTCTGACTTCCATGGGCACCAGACACACATATGGAACAGTTATAGACATGCAGGCAAATTTTTAAAAATCTAAAAATAGATATTTATTTTAAATTGAGGTTTCAGTTATAGGTATATGCTGACATAAAATTAAGGTAGAGTCCCAGCTGATTGATATTTTCTTTTGTTTTTGATAGAGTACTAGATTGTGGTTTTATATGAAGCTTGGTCTACATATAGACTATATTATATATACAGTCTAATTAATCTATGTCTCCATAGACTAACATTTATTTTCTACGGGTTTAGAATCTGAGGGTTCATGTGATCCTGAATTATTCAATTTGAGACACATTTGTAGATCTCAAAATAACTGATTTCTCCCTTTTCCTCTAAGTGCTGTCATTACTATTATTCAAAATGCATTATTTGAAGTAACATTTTATGTCTTTGGACATGGTCAATTTCATATCCTTTTGCTAACCTTAATGATATGAAAGCACTAACAGTGTGTTTAGTCACATCTGCAGATCAGCTTTACAAAGAATAGAATTGTTTTCCTGCAAAGTTTCAGGAGTTTGGCACTATTCCCTAGTCCTTCAAGCCATGGAAGGGATTACATTGAGGCTGCTGTTCCAGTCAGTCAAGCTGCAAGTCCCTTGTCACACAGCTCCAACTGTAAGATGTGATCCAAGCTTTTGAGTTGAGCTGGGAAGAAGAAGAAACAGTGTTTGCATGCATGTGTGAATTCTGACCTGATAGGATCAAGGCACCTGTTGTAACCCAAAATTACATCAGGCCTGTTTGATTGAATTGTTAACTAGCCATACAGTATAAAATCCTTCAGCCCAGTGCTTTAGGATCTTTTTCTTAAATGTAATGTGCTGCTATAATTCTGTGTGCTTCCCCATGACATATAACACACATCTTCATACCTGCTATTGATCATGACTCTGGGATTTCCTTCTGTGTCACTGTTTGATAGCATAGATGACATGTGCCACTTGACCATTTGTTTCTGTGTGTTGGCACAATAAACCAGAAACAGAACTTCCGTTGTACAATTTTTTTTTAACTCTATAACATTTCTTAGATACATTACTCTATATCATTAATTTCTCCTGTGTCCAAAGTCATCTCTGTGTGTTTATAAACAAATCTTCCTTGTTCTAATTTCTTTAATACATATGTATGATTTCATAAATGGAATTATACTTTTATTTTATTGAAAATAGATTCTTCTCTTCTACAGTACATCCCAACCACAGTTTCGCCTCCCTGCACTCCTCCCATTCTTCTCCCACAGACCCACTCCCGCTCTGTCTCTCATCAGAAAAGAGCATGCCTCTGAGAGCAACAAACATGACATAACAAAATATAATAAGACATAGCAAAAGCCCTCACACTGAGGCTGGACAAGGCAACTCAACAGGAGGAAAGAATCCCAAGAGCAGACAAGAGTCAGACCCACTGTTCTCACAGTTAGGAATCCCACAAGAACACCAAGCTCACAGCCACAACATGTTATGCAGAGGACCTGGTGGAGACCAATGGAGGTCCTATGCTTGCCACTTCAGTCTCTGAATCCTTTGTGAGCTCTTCATGGGCCATGTTCTCATGTTGTCCTCCATCCCCTGATTCCTACAATCTTCCCATCCCCTCTTCTGTGGGTTTCTCTGGACTCTGAGTAAAAGGACCCAGTGGAGACCTCCAGTTTAGACTGTCATTCCATATAATGTCTAGCTGTGGCTCTCTGCATCCACTCTCATCTGCTGTGGGAGGAAGCCTTTTGAGGACTGGACAAGGCATCAATCTCTGAGTATAACACAGTACCCTTAGAATCACTTTGAGTTTTTGTTTTTTTAGACCAGTCGTGTTGGTTCTACCCTAGGTCTGTGGGCTATCCAGTCTCTGGTTCCTGGCCATGCAAGCCATGTGAGTCATGGGCTCCCTTTTGCAGAGTGGGCTCAAGTCAAAATCAGACATTGGTGGGCCACTCCCAGAAATCCTGCACCACCACTTCCCCAGGACATCTTGCAGTCAGATGAAAAGTTTTGTGGCTGGGTTGGTATCTGTGTAAGCTAAGGAATGCTTTCCTGATAAGATATGCATACTTAATAAGAAATTCGTTTGCAAGGGCATGAGAAATAAGCCTACTATTCTCTGAGGGCTCAAAATGCCTAGATATTTCTCTCATTAGCCATAATATGATGACTAAACACAGCAGTTACAATATATTCAGATATAACATTGGTTCAAGAAAAACATGTTTATATGCTCAGTCCAACTATTACTTAGTGATATTTTCACACATGCAACATAGCTAGGAAACAAACAAGAATATAGGTATTGCAAGTAGTTTTAGTGTCATTTTGGAAAAGTGTCTATATTAAACTATTGTTAAAATATTGTTTTCTCAGATCTTTATCTTCATAATTCATATTGACTTTTCTAGATTAGTGTGTTTAAAGAGAAAGTACACAAGGTTTTAAATCTTTGACATAGTTCTTGTAGGAATGTAATATTTAGTATAAAAGTGACAATATGAAAAAGTATACTTCCAAAATTGATCTCTATCTCTAATTTTGTTCATTTTTGTTACAATTAAATAGAACTTGGATTAATCTATTTCTTTAACAGATTTGTTGATTGTTTTACTTGTTGAATTTCTGAAGTGCTGTGATTCTACTACTTGAAATGAAAACAGCTCTAATGATGGCTCAGTGGGTAAAGGTACTTGAAGCCACATAAATCTGAGTATCTAAGACTTCAGTCCCAGGGATCTGTAGGTGAAAACTGACTACAAAAGGTTGTCCGCTAACTCCCACATGTACATCTCCATATGGACGTACAATATGCACACAATAATAGTAATTAAAGATTTTAAAAGTGCACATAGGTCCGTATTTGATTGTAAAAATAGCAAATCTGTCTTCTTTTATATCATATATCAGATAGATAGGTAGGTAGGTAGGTAGGTAGATAGATAGATAGATAGATAGATAGATAGATAGATAGATAGATAGATATTCCCTTTAAGTAATTTCCACAGAAGCCTGGAAATTCCTCATGCGTGACTAAAAGACTTGATACCTTCAAGTCAAAATTTTTGTTGTTATAGGCTATTGTTAAAAGCTAGATTGAACATCCTTAATGCAGAATCCAAATACAAAATTATTGGCCACTATGATTCCATATATGAAACATTCTGTGCCTGACCTTATATAACAGGTCTCAAACAAAATGTCACTGCATTAAAAATATTGTGAAATTACTTTTAGGATATGTACATCCTGTATTTATGAACAAAAGAGTTCTACATTTGGACTTGCATACCTTTTTCAGTATCATTTTATATTTGTAGATAATTCCAAACTCAAAAAAAAACAAAAAAATCAAAAATCTGAAACCTAAAACACTAAAGAGCCCTGATCATTTCAGATGACACATTTCCAAACCTTATGATGTGTGTAGTGAGAGAGTGGCGTAGAAGAGGTGGAGAAAGAGACAAGTTTGCTAATATTCTTTTATTACTAGCATACCCGTATTTTAGTCATTGATCTCTCAAGACATAGTAAAAGGAAAATAAGAAGTCTTGTATTTTTAATGTTTGATAATACTTTACATCATATTTCTAGGTCTTCAAACATGAACTAGCTTACTTACTGACTGGAATTCTTGGAACAGCAATAGATTATTGGATCTTCCTTGGTATTCATATGGGTAGAAATGTGATCCGACACATGTCTGATGACTTAGGAAGTTATATCTCCCTTTCCTGTGATGGTAAGTGTCATTGTTATGGTTTCATTTTAATCACTCATCCTGGTAATCAGTTTTAAGTTTCCTTTAAGACATCTATTTTCTAATGTATATTCATATGAAGTTTTGTTTGAAAAATATACAGATATGTACCTACAGAGACAATGTAAGAAGGAATAGAATTTTTTTCTTTAATGCTTCCACACAGAGAGTTTCTATCTTCTTTTTATCTAAGAATTTATATATAGTTGAACTTGTATTACTTTAAAATTTTTAAACATGTATTAATTTGTATAATTTATTTACTTTTATATAAGTTTGTATGAAGGTATCAGATCCCCTGCACTGGAGTTACAGTTGTGAGCTACCATGTGTGTGAGGAATTGAACCTGGGTCCTCTGGAAAGGCAGCCAGTGCTCTTAACCGCTGAGCCATCTCTCCAGCCGTTAAGCATTTATGTTATTTGTTTTTGAGAATTTCATTGAGTATTGAATTTATACCATTTCAATCCCATGAACTCACCACTTCAATTCCTCCTGTGCCTACTCATCCAACTTCATGCCCTTTTCCTTTGTTATTGGTGTGTGTGTGTGTGTGTGTGTGTGTGTGTGTGTGTGTGTGTGTGTGTGTGTGTTTATAAATACAACCTGCTGAACCCTAGTCCATTTAGTATTGTTTATATATGTGTGTGTTTAGGGATGACTTCTTGGGATTAAATCAAGGCCCATCCAGGGAGAAGACTTTCTTAACAGCCATTAATTACCTATATTTCTTTTCCTAAGGGTAGGACTTCTTGAGATTTCTCTCATCCACAGTTGGATGTCAGCTGGTGTTCTCATTGTGCAGGTCTTGTTTAGGAGACTGTATTGTCAAACTTTCATGGGTGTGTAGAGGAGTGAGTGTGTGTTTGTGTATGTGTGTCTGTGTGTCTGTGTGTCATAGGAGACATCCCTATAACTTAGGCTATTACAGTCTCCTGTGCCCTTTTTCATACTGTTCTCTGACCCTATGCTGTAGAAGTTATGTTGTAAATACATTGATTGGGAATGGACTTCCTGACAGATGTTTTCTCCATTTTAACCAAATACAAATTTCTGGAATGGTCTGTTTGTTGCAGGGGAAGAAAAGCTCTTTGCTAGAGTATGGAAGCTGTACTTATATGTGGATGTAAGAATAGGCATTTAAAATCAATTTCTTCCCGTTTATTGTAATGGTGCTAGGCCTATAATCCCTCACACAAAGACCTGCACAGTGATGGCACCAAATAATTTGCCATTGTAGGAACCTCACAAAAACCCGCCCTTACATAAGGAGCTGCTGAACATTAACGGTTGCTAATGAAGGGAAATCCGTTTTCTCTAAGGACCAGCCCCTTAGCAGGTTATCCAATCACCATTGAGTTTTAACAAAGGGTGAGGAGAAAAGGGAGGATTTTGCTCCAAGGAAAAGTTGATAGCCACAACTGAGGAAGAAGATGCTAACTGGCACCTAGTGGAACTTAAGGAGGCTACAGACATTAGGAAAAGCCTCCTGTACCAAACAATTACCCAACGAAAACACTAGTACACATTGTTATTTGACAAATGAATGAATAACTCCATAATACTTCATAATAGAAAGTCAAGATAGGACAGGCCTTAACGTTCTTATCAAGGTCATGTCAGTCATCTCAGGAAATGTCATAAGCAACTTTTGGGTCTGAATTTCTTAGATCAAATTCAATCTTACCTTAGATCTCTGATCATTCTTTCCAGTTATTTCTACTAGGTAGGTTCGTTGTTTTTAAAAATCACACTTGGGATATAGTTTGCTAGAATGCCAGGGAATTTAGCTAACAATTCCTTGTCTTCCAATAATGAACCTCCTTAAGTTTCAGCATCCATGAAAGCATTAGCAATGGCATAAAGGACTGTCAGTATAGTTTTATGTGTTTCCAGTGTGTACTTATTGCCGTTAATTAAATCTCACTCACACTTTAGCTGAATGCATACAATAATAACCCTTGCACTAATGGAGATCTGTATGTATGCTACTGTTTCAGTGCTTTCTTTAGTCATATTCTAGATGTTTCTGCTCTCCAAAGCGAGGCATTTGCTGTGCTGTACCTACTGTGAAATTTACTCTGTTCTCGAATATCAGATTTAAACCCTGGCAGTTGGAACCTCTGACTGATGACTATTTGAGCTAAAGATTTAGCATTAATATCATAATACTATGGGCACAATCATTTGGTAACAGGGATTCACCTTTGTTTACCAATTAAAACTCTAGATGAAGATGAAATTATGCCATTATTTGAAGTGAATGTCCTTACTACTCTTTGCTCACTTTTCTCGGTGCACACGAGCAATATAGCTCAATTGGCAAAAGCATTTGCTGCCAGGATGGGTAACCAATTCCTCAAAATAATCCACTTGCCTCAGCAGACATACAGTGGGGGGGAGGGGGGCGGTAATGCACTGTGCACACACGAGCACTGAGAGGGAAAGAGACTGAATAAGAAATTACAATAGAAACCTAAACACATATATATGTAGAATTGGTTCCTTAGGTTTCAAAGCTTTATGAAGAAATTTGAAAGTCATTGTTTGCCAGTTTCTTTTGTTGTTGCTGCTATTGTTAGTGGATATTCCTGCCTGTTTTGTTTGGGTGTGTTTTGTATTTTACATCAGTTCAGTTATTCTCCTCTGTATTTTCTGACTCATTGGTAAGGATAGTGGATTTGGCTATTTTATTGTTTTCATTTGAAGATATCGACTCACCTTCCTCATTTATGGTTAGTATAACTGCTGAAGTTTACAATTGTTTCGTGAGAATTAAGGAAGTGTGTATTTCAGAGGACGGGTGTAATCCTTTCTTGTTTTCATTAGACCTCATGCCCATCAATTCCACAGCATGGTTTTTTTCACAACACTTCAGACAGAATTCCTTTCTGCATGTTTAACTATCTGAATTTCATTTTTATCCGAATTGAAATTCTTGAGAAACTAGCTTCAGATGAGGATTAGATTTTCCATTTATGTAAACTACTAGGGTAAATATTCCTTGCTCTTTAGGACTCAGAAGCTGTAGTAAGAAAACAACCTCACACATACACAAATAAATAAATAAATGAATAAATGATAATGGCCTTGCTCATATTCCTTTGCTAATCTTTGAGTCAAACTAATTTCTTTTGATTTTAATGAGGAGGAAAATGTGTTGTTCCAACAGTTTCATGGCCATATAGATAGCCCTAGTTAAATTGGTGGCTGTAGAACTAACAATTTGAGCAACTGTGGAAAGGCTACCGTAAATGCCCTTCCCAGATAGTGAGATCAACTGACTTATCCACCATCATGGAGCCCTCATCTAGTACCTGTTGGAAACAGAAGCAAACACCCATAACTAAACACTGAGTCGAACTAGAATCAAGATGCAGAGGGAGAGGACAAGACGAGGTTACAGAAACACATAGAGACAGCTGACCTGAACAAGGAGGAGCTAATGGGCCCCCAGACTGATAGCTGGGAAGCCAGCATGGGACTGACTCAGGACCTCTGAATATGGGTCTCAGCTAGAAGGCCTGGGCAGTCTAAGGGACCTCAGACAGTGGAACCAGGATGTATTCCTGGTGCACAAAAGGACCTTGCAAACACATCCCCGCATGGAGGGATAACTGCCTTAACCTAGAGACAGGAGAGAAGTCCTAGTCCCTACTTCAAATGACTTGACAGATTTACATGACCCCACCTGGATGGCATTGCCCTACATGTGGAATTGGGGTGGGGGGAATGGGAGGCGAGGGTGGTCAGGGTGCATATGAGGGGGCATAGGGGGTAAGAGGGAGGGAGGGATGGACGGATGGATGGATGGAGAGGGACATGTAAAATTAAAAAATAAATAATAAAAATTATTGTTGGCTGTAGGAGCATAGACTTTATCTGGGCCTTTTATTCCATTTATGTATGTATCACAACTATTTACTAATGTTGAACTTTAGCTCTTTTAATATCATATTGGTTGACCTCATTCTTTGTCATTTTAGTGTGTTATTTATACTATTTATAGAAATTTGTAGAAAATTAGTATCATTAAATAGTTGACATGGGAATCAGCTCCCTTGGTAGTTTATCTCTGTCGATTACTCTGTATATTAATGAAATTTTGTTTTTAACATTTAAAGCTTTACATAGAAGAGATCTAAGGATGTTGGTGGGGTTTGTTATTTTTCATAAACTAAAATTTCTCCTAGCAGTAGTGGAGTGGGGTGTTCAAAATTACACCTAAAATTTTTTATGATATTATTTTTTATTTAAATTGGAAACAAGTGTGTTTTACATGTCAACCCCAATTCCCTTACCTTCCCCTCTTCCCCTGTCCTCCTGCCAACCCCCACCCCATCCCCTTTCTGCTCCCCAGGGAGGTTGAAGCCTTCCATGGGGGAATCTTCAAAGTCTGTCATATCATTTGGAGCAGGACCTAGGCCCTCCCCCGTGTGTCTAGACTGAGAGAGTATCCCTCTATGTGGAATGAGCTCCCAAAGTCCATTCGTATACTAGGGATAAATATTGATCCACTATCAGAGGCCCATAAACTGTCCAGCCCTCCTAATTAACACCACATTCAGGTAATCTGGGTCAGTCCTATGCTGGTTTCCCAGTTCATGAGCTTCCCCTTGTTCAGGTCAGCTGTTTCTGTGTGTTTCTCCAGCCTGGTCTTGACCCCTTTATTCTTCACTCTTCCCTCTCTGCAACTAAATTCCAGGAGTTCATTTCAGTATTTAGCTGTGGATATCTGCTAGCCTGGTTTACAAAAGCTAGTTCCAGGTCAGCCTCCAAAGCCACAGAGAAACCCTGTCTCGAAAAACAAAACAAAACAAAACAAAACTACAAAAAAAAAAAATCAGATTGAATCAAAATTATAAATAAATTTTACCAGCTAGGAAATATCACTCCATTGAGTAGAACCCACTGCAAAAATACGGGGGAAATGTATAAGATGTAGCAATAACTGTATTTACTTGTTTTTACAGACTTCTCTTCACAAGAACTAGAGATCTTCATTTGTTCCTTTTCATCCTCCTGGCTTCAAATGTTTGTTGCAGAAGCCATCTTTAAAAAGTTGTGCTTACAGGGCCCCGCCAGTGCTCGCACCGAGCCACTCTCTCTTCAGAAAATCGTAAGCACGGCCCTCTTCTGGTTCATTTTTCCCTCATAAGTGAGTTCATGAGTTCAATTTCAGTTCTTAGTGATGTCTCAGAAATGGCACAACACAACTCATAGCCTTGAGTATTTTCTATCTCAAAATTAGAGTGGTAGGGCTGGAGAGATGAGTCAGTGTTCTTCCAGAGAAGCCAAGTTCACTTCCTAACATGTATGGCCCTTCTGATCTCAGGCAGATGTGGATGCCCCCCCATATGCACACAAGTAAATAATAGAAATATGTCTTTTCAGAAAGAGACTAGTGAAATTTGGAGGGAATAAGTAGGAAAAACTATTTCCTGAGGTTTGCCATGAAACACTTAGAAACTACATCCAAAATTTTTTTGACATTTAAAAAGGAAAACTTGTAAAGATGTATGCTATATACATATACATACATATAAGCTGTATTTGCTCCCATTCTCTAGTGTCTTGGCCATGTTAGACAGTAAGGTCTAAAGCTATAGAAGCTTCTTCAGCATACGCCAAGCCCCTTAGTTTATTAAAAAGCTTGGAAAATTGCTTTGCAACAGATCTTGTTTGAAGGATATTTTTACCTCTTATTCCATTTATTCTGGACTTACCTTTCTATTGAAGAAAACCATTAACAAAATAATACTTGTCTCTAAGTCTTAAGGTACAAAAAATATGTAAATCCTAAGATGAATATGAGACTTAATCAAAAGATCTTTCCTAAGTGAATACTAAGAGTGAACTAAAGTTATCTTAACTGCAAGATATTGACAAAATAGTTACACAGAACTGGCAGCTTTAATATTCAGTCATGTTCAGAGAAGATAATGTGACAATATAATTGTGAAATGAAGAAAATAAAAGCAGACTTGTTAGTAAAATGATCAGGTAATGTTGTTTCCTGCTCTATGAAGTTATGGTAATGATACAGTCTTATTTTGTAACAGATAGACTCCTATTTGCCAGTTTTGGGAGAAATGAACATACATGGGGCTAGAAAGATGCAGACGCCAAAAAAAATCGGCCAGCGACCTTGCCTAGAGTCTCAGAGAGCATTACTAATGCTGAATGGTGCAAAGCAAAAGCAAGTTGAAGGTTGGCCAGAATTTCCGTGAGTAATGCTGTTGCTACAGCTATACTTTGTTTTAGAATGTGGACTTTAGGTTATCTGAGGTTTGTCTGAATTATATTGATTGGAAGAAAACTCAATTTTAGACCTATAAATCCATAGGATCAGCACTTTCTTTTACTGTAATGCAAAGATCATATTTTTCTCCTACTAAGTGCTTCCCAAAAGGAATGAAACTATATTAATCAAGACTCAGTTTCATACAAGTATTTTTCTGAAATAAGAAGTACTATTTACTTTTAGAATATAAATGAGATTTTAGATGGTTGGTTGTGTGAGATACTATATTTTCTCAAATGAGATGCTTCTTGAATAGGGAACTCTGGAGACCTACATTCTTATTTAGCTTTCGGCTTTATTTTTCTCTACAAAATGTTATTTTCTTGGTTTCTTCTTTGTCCAACATCCTCTACTCATTACCTTTTTAGTGAACAGTTGGAGATAAAGACTAATAAAGTGAAAATTAATGCACCAAAATTTGTTCCCATAATAGCTGACATGATTTTAAAAATTGGAACGAATATGATGAAATGAGTAAATGGCTTAAGTTAAAAGAAAGATATATTTTAAAGGGGGAAAAAGTACTATCTTATGTATGCTGGCATGACTTACTGAGAAACAAGCTCTCCTTGGTTTTCTTCCTTTTCAGAGAATTGAACCGTGCTAAATGTTCCTCATCATTGAAAAAATTGAAAAAGAAATCAGAAGGAGAGTTGTCATGTTCCAAGGAGAATTGCCCCTCTTTGGTTACAAAGATGAATTTTCATAAAACTAATCTAAAAGGTATCCCAAATATCTGAATTAACTTATTCTAAGGCCTTTTCATGGTTGTAATCACTACTTGCAAATCTCACACATTTGCCCCGATGAATGTTTGAACTTAAATATTGGGCTGGATCCAGGAAATACCTTCAGGGATACTGTATTATATTCTTGAACTCTTGTTTATACAAAAGAAGTGGTAATTTAGCCCAGGTGTAATTGTGTGCCCCTCCCTTTCTTTCTCCTGCCTTTCTAGATGCTTATTGGTGTGTAGCTCATGTTGAGTTTATTCCAGACTTGCCCTCCTTACTTTGCTATTCCATGTCAACGTGTGCTGCTTTGCTTAGGATCACTATCTTCTGATTTGAAAGTATAATTCGTTCTTCAGCTCTTTTCAGTAGTACACATTTTGTGAACAAAGAATGAGGAGTAGGCTATGTTACATAGCTGTGTTAAGCATATGGGCTCTTTTCTTCTAGGCACTGAGCCCAGACCGAAATGTGTTTGGCTTTTGGTTCTAACTGTACTGGAGCCTAAGTACCTAATGGATAGAATTTCAAGAATAGTGCTGCAGTAATTTACTCTAGCACCTCTTTTACTCTTATCTGATAACCTGAAGATATGTGTCTACAAGGCATCTCTACTTGGATAAACTAACTTGCCAGATTTACAAACTGTTCTTATTTACAAACTACATCATGTATATTAACTCCTGATATGTATTAACTCATGAAAACAGTGACAGCAAAGCTTCTACAATTTTTTGCCATGATAGAAGTTTATAACTGACCATTTAGCTCGGAATATAAAGAATATTAGGTAAGAAATCTGATATTCACTTTAAAGATCAGTGTCTATTTTCTTTGTTTTACTGTTTCAAAATGTAAAATGAATATGAATGACTTTAGGCTGAACAGCAGGAGTTGAATGCAGAAGATAATTGAGAAATATAGAAAAACTTGAAGTGACTTCCTATGCTTGTAGAAGAAATTCTCGGAAGAAGTTGCAGAGATAATCGATAAAACTGAACACTATAAAAATGTGCTACTCTATATTTTATAGCAGGAACAAATTATGTCCATGTTTCATTTTGTTTCCTGTGCAGTCACTGACAAGTATTTAACCATTTTTCTTAATGTCAAATTCTGACTTACATTTTACTAGTCTTAGTTATGAGAGAGATCTGAGTAGGTAATCTTGACCAGCAGCTACTTACTGCATTCCTCCCAGCAAAAATCGTGCCATTGTATTTGCTAGTGTTGTTCAGCTGTAAGTGGTATGTAAGGACTTTTCTCGCCTCCCTGCGCGCACGTGTGTGTGTGTGTGTGTGTGTGTGTGTGTGTGGTGTTTATATTAAGATTCTTCCATTTCTCCCTCTGTGCTGCTGTAGCCAAGCCAGATAGCCTATTGAGAAGCAGCAAACCATCTGTTAATGGATTTGAAGTTCTGAATTATACTTGAGTATGTGGAGGCACTCGTGCTTAGCCAGGAACATTCATTTGAATTAAGCTATAAATGCTGTATAAGAAAGCCATACATTTATCGGAGGTCCATGAATAAATTTAAGAGAGGGCAATTGTGCTTTAGAACTTTTATTGCTGCAAAACCAAGTATTTTTGGTGTTTCTACATTGTGGGGTTTTATAGCAGGACTGAAGCTTTAAACCTTGTACTAGGGAGAGACAATGCCTCTGTTAGAGCTTGAGCTGTAGAATTTCATTGCTGAATTGCTGACAGAACAGAAGCTCTGGATTGCTGGGGCCCTGCCATTTTTTTTTTCCTTTTTTTTTTTTTTTTTTTTTTTTTTTTTTAATGCAAGAGATGGTTAAACCAGTCAGAAGGAAAGGAAAACTCGTAAATAATTGTCTGGCATGGGTCCAGATCTTCTAGTCCATGGCCTTTGATTATTTTGTTTAGTTGATATCTTGTCTTCTCTGGAATAATCTATTAATTTTTTATGGCAGGGGAAACAGCTCTGCATAGAGCTTGCATAAAAAACCAAGTGGAGAAATTGATTATTCTTCTCTCTTTGCCAGGAATAGACATCAATGTTAAAGGTAAGTTCTCTGGGTCTTTGTGCTTTCATTCAGTGTCTTAAAATTTGTCATATAAAATAGTTTTATGTCACAGTAAGAAAAGTCATTTAAATAAATTTACTGAAGAATTTTTAAAATACTGTTAGCAACCAAACCAAAATAATTCATTATGCAGTAATTTAGAGCTAATAATATAACATACTTTAGTAGTAGTTTTTTGGTCATATTCCAACATTAATATTTTGAGGTTGCTTTTTATTTATTTTCATTTTTAAAAATAGAAATATGATTACGCTGTGTTCATTTTCACCAAAGCTGTTTTTCATATATGAAGCTCCTACAGAGTAATAGGATGGGAGTCATAGAACGTCAATACTTTGCAACCAACAGTACTACTTCTGCGGTTTTAAAACTTGCCTTGATTTGTAATTTAGACAATGCTGGCTGGACGCCTTTGCATGAAGCCTGTAACTATGGCAACACAGTGTGTGTCCAGGAAATTTTGCAGCGTTGTCCAGAGGTAGATCTGCTCACTCAAGTGGACGGGGTGACTCCTTTGCATGATGCACTGTCAAACGGACATGTAGAAATTGGCAAGCTGCTACTACAGCACGGGGGTGAGTGGATTTGTGCTAAATGGGTTTTGATAAATTATCTAGGCTTTTGATGAATCCCTCCAAAGCAAATAACACTTGATGTTTAAAATATGTAAGGAAAGATGCTTTTGTTTTATATTAATGACAAAGACAAGTCTCCTAAAATATTGCCACCCTTTATTAGCTGTTGTAAGAATCATTTTATAGTATAGATGTACTGTTAAAACCTATTGAGGTTCATATACGATAATATGGTTTTTTTTTTTTTTTTTCAGTTGAACATGTTGGCTTTAAGTATTCCTTTTGCTAACATATATGATGTCTTTGTGAACCAGTCATTTCTTAGAGCTTTGGACTGGGTGCTTCTGGTGACTCCTGTGGGTTTCATTCTTGTTTTATTATTTATTATATGTATAACTCTGTAAGTCAACACTGTCTATATAAGGCATTCTTTTATAGAATATGGAAAGGATAGCCAAGGATATTATTCATATTTACAGTCAACTAAGTTAAAAAGTCAGATTTTTGGATGGTATTAAGTGTAATGCAAGGCTTTTGTGAAGAGGCTAACTTCGCTTCATATCCATCTTCTGCTTTTCCTAACTCTCATTTTTCCTGACTCTTCAGCTATTCCTGTTTTGGCGATATTTCTGCATGTGAACTGCTATAAAACCTTGCTTCAAAATATTCAACCTAATTTGTGTTTTAAAAAAGAAATCTGATTAACTATCTTGTAATGAGATAAACACAACACCTTTGTGTAAATCTATTTGTTTTATTGTGCTAATTTTAACTCAGAATTTGATGTGTTTATGTTGTAAATCACTTCATTCTATGCAAAAGACATATTCTTTATATAGCTTTGTATTTGTTTATTTGTTTTGGTTTTTTGGTTTCTGATGTTTATGGGGGGGGTTACTATATGCATCATGAAAGATTGTATTGCATGATGGCATGAGAGACTTGGTTATTTATAGTCTTCTCCTGCCCCCTAAAGGCCTAAATGTATCTGATTTACCAACACTATTTCATAGTTGATATTTTTTCTTTTTCTACCTTTTTTTTTTTTAATACCATTTGTTTTCTAAAACTAACACTTTTCCTATTAAGTATTCTGTTTTTCTACTCAAAGATTTAATCTGACATTCTAACAAATATTTGTTTCTGTATCATATGATGTAAGTATATAAGGATTATTGTATGACATGCAGTATAGTATAATATTAGGTCGACCAATATGAATTTTCCTAGCAAAGAGTGTAGTAGTAAGTGGTTCTTTTCTATATAAAGTCATGTAAGCCATTATATGTATGGTCATAGTCATCATTAAGCGCTTTAGCACTTAATAGTCTATTCTCTTTCTGGTGGTTTGGTCCATGTTATAATGATAGGAATTTCCTGTCCATATCCCAGGTAACATGTGTAAGTGCATAAAGGGTCACATGCTTTGACTAACAAGTACAGAGTACTTCTGTGTTTTGTCATGTGGTTAAGCCCTGTGTCATTGCTTTGTACTTCTTACATCCTTAATACTTAGGGAATAAACTTGGATCCTTAGCATTTTAGTACTATCAGCATGGTTTTGTATCAGCTATTGGGTTAGAAAAATTAATATTGAAGTTTCTGTGAATCCTTTACCTTTATAGACAGTAAACATTAGCAAAAAATAAAATGAAAGCTGTACTGGATCTGCACAGGGTCTTTACAGTTTTCACAGTACTAGCTGGTTTATCAGTAATGAGAAGGATACTTTTTTTTTTTTTTTTTTTACTTTTTCTGAACTTAAGCTAAGGTATTTTATTAATTTCTTCTGTGAATATTGAAATTCTTGTTCTTAAGGTGGCCACAGCTGTTTCATTTATCATCTATATTACTTCTGTAGAGTATGAACTTCTAAGCAGACTTCATTAGACAGTTGACAAGAATTTTAAGTTTGTAAACACACCTTTATTAGTCTATACAGTCTATTACAGTCTGTGTGAGCAGCTAATTAGTAGCAAATATGCTACTTTAAAATAGAGCCCTGTAAGCTTTGAGGGGAAAGGAAAGAAAACAGCTGTTAAACTGCCAAAATAAAAATGTTTTACTATTAACATTTTACATTTTCTTTTTCATAGGCCCAGTGCTTTTACAACAGAGGAACTCTAAGGGGGAATTGCCCTTGGATTATGTCCTGTCACCTAAAGACAAGGAAGAACTCTTTGCCATTACCAATATAGACGACACAGTGGAAAATTTTCATGCTCAAACACAGAAACATTTTTATCACCAGCAGCTTGAATTTGGTTCATTTTTACTTAGTAGGATGTTGCTTAGTTTTTGTTCAACATTTGATTTATCTTCAGAATTCATCGTAGCTTTCAAAGGGTTGGCTCATCTAAGTGAGTTGCTTATGGCATGTACTAGTGATGATGCAGAACCCACCAGTGCACATACTGACTGGTTACTAGATCTTTATGCTAGGAACATAAAGACATTAAAGAAGCTCCCAAATGTTCTTAAGGAACTGCCTGAGAATCTAAACGTGTGTCCTGGAGTACATACTGAGGCCTTATTGGTGACACTGGAAATGATGTGTCGGTCAATCACAGAGGTGTCTTGATGGTGGAAAGTGAGATAACTCTCACTAAACATGCAGCCTGTCAGTACAGCCATAACTTATGGACAAATATCAATTTGATGTATTCACTCACAGCCTTACAGCAGATTTTCATAGCACTTAAAAAACATCTGCAGAACAACAATACAGGCTTCCTTTCCAATGTTTAGAATTTAACTCAGAAAGATACAATGATAAAATGAAGTAGTTTTGTTGGGTATAAAATGTTTTTATTGCTCTTTAAAAATCTTTGTTCTGAAAATATTTATTTATATTGTTTATGTAGAAAATTAAATACTTTTCATATCAAAAATGTCCTTTCCTCTAAGTGCTATAGGTTTTAAAATCATGGCGAGGATATTCATTAAAATGTGTATCTATATACTTGTAAAACTTGTTTCTTCTTTATAAGCTAATGTCCAAAATGCATTTGCTTTTCTGTGTTTCTAAAATAAACCTTTCTGGAATTTTAAATTATATTTAATAAACTTTGGTTTTTAAATGCTACAATATATACAGTTTAGCAATTCACTTCTTTGATCTTTTTAGTTTAACAGCGCGTGCATGAAGTATGTTTCTATTAGTTTAACCAGTCTTCTATAAGTGAAAACATTTTGCCACGTAACAAGTTTTATTAAATATTATAATTAAAATTTACAATTAAATTGGCAGAAGAATAATAGGTGTGAGGTTATCTGAAATTTTATTATGCAGTATGAATGTGCAGATTAGTGTTTCCATTTTTTTTTCCTAATAGTTTATAACTTAAAGGGCAGAGTGTGACTCTTAACTACTTATGAAATTGGTGGGAGAAGTCACATTGTGTTACAGATGGGGAAAAGGAATTACAACTTAATTCTTGATGTTATATAATGTAATTGCTGATCTAACAGCAATTAATGTGTTAAAGAAGCATTTGAGCTTTGTTTCACAAATAGATCTTTCAGCAACAGACAGATGCTCAGTATCTTAGTCTCGCTACTCTAATAAAACCAAACTTCTGTTAGATCCAAATGAACTTTATATATACTGTAAGAAATAGCATAAAAATGTGTTTTTGTTATTAATCCCGCCAAAGCATCAACAAACATGAGTAGTTACTGGGAAGGCTGAGTTAGGGGAATGACTGAGTTTGTAGCCAGACTAGAAAGAGGCAAGAAGAGAAAAGAAAGGGACCAGAAACAGTCATTTAGTCTTATTATGAACGTACCTGGGATAATACTGCTTCATAAACACAAACTTGAACAGTGGGCTTTGACTCAGGCACAATGTAAACCTTTGGCTAATTTGTTATAACTAAATTACAAGAACTTTTTTTTACTGTTTGGGGGGTTTAGGCTTTTGTTTGTTTGTTTTGGGTTTTTGGTTTTTTTGTTTGTTTGGTTGGTTGGTTGGTTTTTTGGTTGTTTTGGAGAGGGTTGTTTGTATGTTTGTTTTGTTTTTCGAGGCAGGGTTTTTCTGTGTTACAGTCCTGGCTGCCCTGGAACCCACTTTGTAGACCAGCCAGCCTTGAACTCACTGATACTCTCCTGCCTCTGCCTCTCAAGTGCTGCCATTAAAGGTGTGCGCCACTACTGCCTGGCCTGTTTTAGTTTTCTTATATGTCAAATGGAAGTAATGTCAGGTGTCCTTGTCCTGAAAGAATTAAGCTAAACTCTCAATTTATATGATGCTTCATAAACTTTCTACTGTTCCATTTGCTAATAATGAGGTGCTAAAGCTAATTGTTTAAGTTGGCAGTACTTCTGTAATTAAAAAATATAAATAGTATCATGAATTAAGATTTTGTACTCTTAGGTAGTTTTGTATGATAGATATTCATTAAACAATATTTATTTGATAGAACTATTCAAATTGCATGGCAAGCTGTTTTGTGTACCACAAGCCACGATGCTATGTCCTGTAACACATTCAGGTGCTCCAAGATGTCTTCCTGTAGGAAGGCATTGTTTCACGGGTACAGGGTACTGTATTCATTGCCAAGTTACATTTCGGGATTCCAGCATTGTTTCTATTATTTCTTGTCTGAGCCTTAACTTTCCGTTGGAGACTTTTCAAAGTTGCAGCTTGAAACAAAGCTGAGTGATGTTTTCTGTCCTGTGTCCTCCCACATCTGATGTCATGGCTCCATGGCTTGTTGAAGAGGAAGAAAACAACAACAAAAAAATCAAATCAACGCCCCTTCCACAATGTGAGGAAACATCAGATGGGATTTCTGTGTGTGTTAGCTTTCCTCAATGCACTTTAATGTGGTTCTTGGAAGGGCCTTTTGAAGCCCTTGGAAGGGTCGTAATCTTAGTTACACTGTAGAGAATAAAGTATTCTGTAGACATAGTTTCCTACAAAATGACCAGGAAAAAAGCATCGCTGCTTCTGGTATGAAACACTGGAAAATGAATTATTGTTTTGAATTCAACATTTTTGGAAAACAAAGAGAGCCCCAAGTTGCATACTTCTCAGGAGTCGATGATAGAAGAAAGCCTGACCAATTGGAAAGGTAAACTAGAATTAATTCTGTTCATATTCATGTGTTTTCTTAAGTGCCATAGAGAGAAAATTAATTTGCTATGTTTCTGGAAGCTTTAGTTAGTTAGTGTTCCCTACTTTTTAAATTGAAATACCGAGTCTGATAGCATAATCTTTTGGTGTTTGGTAATTTAATTTTAGAATAAATAGGCAGTGATTGGGCTTTAGAAGTCTTAGTGCTCATCCTGAGACAAACGTTAATGCTAGAATGCTTACATAAATACCAGGAGAGTGTGCTTGCTTTTCTTGATGCTGTTGTAGGAAAGTGAATAGATTTACATGGAAAGAAATTACTGAAGGGTCCTGCAGTCCTCCTGCCTGTGATGAACTTGGTAAGAGCTGTCACTGTTGCTCCTTAATCAGCAGAAAGGCATCTTCTTTGACTGACAAGAGTACTTACTGCCTCCAACATTTATTAAGTGGCTTTCATTGCCAATCGCTTGTTCCTCCTGGTAGGCTTACATGCCAGTTGCATCTCCTGATGAAGTGAACCTCACAAGACTCAGAATGATGATGGTTTTTGTATGAAATGTGGATTTAGTTAGAAAGGTCAATCACAGCCTTATTGAAAAGCACCTGTTCATGTTAGAACTGAACAAGGGGTTGTTAACTATTGCATGGAAATCAGATTATGTTATCAGAAAATTTAACTCCAACTTATATCGACCTATTTTTAAAGGTTCGAACTGTAACACTTAGTCCTATATATGAATGACCTTTTAAAAATAATAATGCTATATTTGCATCTCTTTAAAATAAATACGGTGAGCTCTGGGTTTAAAACTGCTGACTTATTAATAAAAGCCAACTGTGTGTCAGAGGGTCTATTGATCAGTTATTGAGTAATCATTATGAAAGGTGTATGTTATTTATACATAACATGGAAGTATTGGACTATATTGCCTTTAACAATTAACACCCATTATTTGAGCTTGTACACATTCTTCTGTCCAGTTGTCACTGAAACACTTTTTCCTTAATAAATGTGATCACCTTTCTTCTCATGTTATCAGATAGCACATTGATATGCTATAAGTAGTAATTATTGATGGAAAGTGGATTTAATTCTATCAGAAATAGAAATGTAAAATAAATACATTTAGCACTTCCAGAGGAGATCACTTACACTGAACTGGAAATCGGAAACCCAGCTTTGAATTCACTTTTATCATGCTATCATTTCTCCTGTTGGTAGATGAACTGAAATTGCTAGTCCTTCTCTATTCTTTGTTCCCAAGTGAAATAGTCATGGGGAGGGGGATCATAAATCTTGAAGTGGTGACAGAAGTTAGTTTGCTCTTGGTGACTTCATAGCTTCAATGTCAGATCATCAGTGGTTTATGTCTGGATGCATGGTGAATTTATAATGTGGCCTTACTTGTATGTGGGGTAATGTGTTGGGTATCTGACTTTACCTCAAACATGGCTCTTTCTGGTTTGCATTGTTTCTCTTTTACAGCAGCCATGAAGTTACTGAGCATTAAGTAAAATTTGATAAAATTAAGATGTGCATTTTAAAACTGTTTACAAGTTGAAAAAATGAAACCTGAGCAAGGGGATGAGGGGAAATGCTTAGGGAATGTCAGGTTAAAAGGAATCAAGAAAGGAAATATTTCTAAATGTTGACTATACTGTTTGAAGTTAATTATACAGAAAGCATATAGACAGGTGTGAACCATGGAAAAGCTATGTCCTAGGCATTTTTGTACAATTTTAATAAGCTAAACAATGATGGTTTTGAAGAGTGCTCTTATGCTTGAAATTAAGTAAAAATAAGTGAAGAATAAAAGTTCTTGTTAACAGTAGCATTAAAAACAGTCTGTTCTAACTAGCAGTATTCAGCCCTTTCCTCAAGGTTAGGTAAATCTCATTAACTACTAAGACACTTATTACGAAAATGTAGTAGTGAAACATAGAAACAATTGTCTCATTTTCTCATCATTACAGTTCTTACAAATTCCCTCCCAGAATACCATAAATTCATACTGAGACCTGTCATTGGAAGAAATAAACGAAATAAACTTAAAGGGAGGTCAGAAGCTATTTGTTAAAAGTTCTCTATCTAGTTTACTTTTTTTTTTTTTGACTGATTTTAACTTTGTGATGAGAAATAGCAGATATTTAAGTGTTATTAGAGATTTTTCTCTGAATTTCATGAGGAAAATATCATAAGTAGATACATTGTTATTAATAGTTATATTTATGTGTCAGACATTTAAATACTTTTAATTTATCTAATTTTTTATGAAATAGTTTGTTTGCTTACAGTACCAGTAGCCTGCTTATTTTAAAGTGACTCCTCTGCTAATTGAGTCTTTTTTTTTTTAACATTTATTTACTTTGTGTATATTTGAGTTATGTGTGTATGGACATGAATCCTATAGCAGGCAAGTGGGTATTAGAGGACAACCCTTGGGAGTCAGTTATCTCTTTCAGTACATGGGTCCTGGGGACTGAACTCAGGGCATCAGGTTTGGTAGCAATGTCTCTACCCACTGAGCATTGATCTTCAAATGTTTTTAAAGTAGGCTAATTTTAAACTTGTGTGTCCTCCATTTTTACAAAATATCTAGAGCTTTACATTTTGCCATTTTCTTTTTTTTAAGTAGGCTACAATTGCTATCATCTAATGCAGATCTCACAGAACTCAGTTATCCTCCATATTTCTTTGAGAGTGAATCCGACAACTCTCCTCATGATACCTTTACTGCTTTGACTGGCTAATGTTTAGTTGAAGGTAACTCATTGCTTTTTTTAGTGGTAGCCTTAGCTTGCCCTTTGGGATGGGTAGCCATAACATATAACCCATTTTTTATTTTATAGTTTTATAAGTGTTGATGGACACTTAGTTATGTGCATTTTGGAGAGTCTTTTCATATTTAACACAGAAAAGATGTGGTTAAGTGAGACTTAAGTGGTAATTGGTCTATAAAATTGAAATCCAACCATGT